TATTGTGTTTTAAGTTTGTATTATTGAAGTGTGTTGAAGACATTAAGTTTGCATTTACTCTGCGAATTGTTCATTAATAGTGAGTTCTATTTTTGTTTTCATTAATGATGAGTTATTTACAAGAATATTTGTTTGGTTCTATTAACAAGATCAACTAATTCCCTAACTAGGGTAAGGGGATAATCGGTTCGGTTAATTATTGTTTATAAGCATTTCAATAATCTCAATGTTTACAAGTTTTATCCATTTCATGATTAAGTGCTTGATCACCATTTTAATCTATATAATCGATTTCAAAACCGAGAGGGGAGAAATTGATCGAACTTGACATGTTTAGAATAAACATGTTCGGAAGCGTATTGTTTATGTGTTAATCGTTTCAATAGTTTATGTTTTTTATGTTTATTCGCATATTACGAAAGTTAGTGAGTTTAAACCTCTAAAAGAGTTAATTAATTGAATCGCTTAACTGAGTAAATTGATTGCCGTAAAAGTTAATCCAACCGGTGTTGATTGTCCCCAATACCCTAGCTATGTATATTCATTGAAATTATTTTAATTATTTAGCTTGGTTTAAATCATATTGCATTAAATTTCTAAGTTGTTATATTTAAATTGATTTAGTTAAAAACCAAATCAACAAAATCGAATTAGAATGTTTAGGATTATTTTCTCTTTTGTGAATTGAATAAATGTACTATTTAGTCCGGCTAACTTTCCTTTGAGAACGACCCGAGTCGGGTAACTCGGTTATTACTTGCCCAAAAATATAACGAACAAAATTTGGTGCCGTTGCCGGGGAAGGCAAGTAGGACATCTGGTTTTGGTGTTGATATTATTTTTTGTGTTTCTCTTATTTTTGTGATATTTGCTTAATTTCAGTGTTTCTCTTGATTTTGTTATTTTTCATTTCTATTGTTTTTATTTTTTTTGTAAAAATCATAAAAAAAAGTATTATATATATATATATATATATATATATATTTCTTATTCTCGTGTGCCTTGGTTGTTTGCTTTTCTTGTGCGAGGTGTTTTACTTGAGGAGCTCCGATGGACCCGTATGGCTATTCTTATGCTGGAAGCTCATCTCATGGATACCCTGACAACTACCAACAGAAGATGCACTCATATGGAGGGCCGCCCTATCCGTATCCGAACTACTCAAATTCCTATTGCTATGACGGATACTCGACATCTCAAGAGTATGGCCCGAGCCATTCTTACACGACATCTCAAGGCCGATACGATTCTTACACATCAAATCACTACGAGACGCCTTATTACTGTTGGTGTTATATACTTAAGCTTTGCTTTAGTGGATATTACACTTGTTATTTC